GTCTTATGACTGGGTATTTTCAATTTAAATGGTGTTTCAATATCTATTACTGGATTTTTTTTTTTTTTTTTTTTTTTTGCATGCCGGGTGGTTTCACTATTACCAAAACACATGTGATCTTCACTTTTGATGTGGATTTTGCATCCCGTGTCGGCCAATCAAATGTTTTGCTTTACTCTGTTGCAAACTCGGCACATTTTTTGGCCAATCAAAATCTTTGGATTTTCCCCTTTTGTTGCAGAATTTGCAAAAATCATTATCTGTCCTATATAATTGTTCTATTTTTGCTAAGTATTGGGCATTCTGAAATTCTGTTTTTGTTGTTGTTAAAAATGATTTGTGATATATATTGAGATTTGTACAAAAAAGTAATTTATATGGGCTACAAATGCAGTAGATGTTTTAGCAAATTACGATAGAGTTTGATATCTTGGCAGATAAAGCAAACAGTTTTACCCTTTTTTTTCAAAAAATATATCAATAATTTTGAACATATGAAGAAATAGCTACGTGGGGAAAGTTAATACTTCTGCACAATCAGTCACTTGAAGTACCTGATATTCTTTAATATTTTATAATGCAACTGCTATAGGCTGTAGGAGCATTATAAGTACATGTATATTGCATGAACAGGCTCTAGTTTGTTTACTGAAAAGCTGCTTTTAAAATGTCTTTTGCAAGATTTTGAGGTGTATTGTATGCCAAGATACCAAATGTGTAGCATTCATAGTTTTCACATACCTCCTGATTGAAGGTGGAAGTGGTTTACCCCCCCCCCTCTTTGCTATACCCCCTGGTCTCTCTAAACCCCCCCCTGCACTGCTAATATCACTCTCATGCTGGTTTTGTCATTGATCAGCCAGGCGTTGGATTATTGGCTCATTGATTGATTGAATGATTGATAAGATGACCATATGAAGTTGACTATTTTATTGTTTTATTGGCTGATTGATGAAATAGTCAACTGATAAATCTGTTGATTGACTGATTGATTGAATTGTTGTTAAAATGGTTAATTTGTTCAATTGGCAGTGTAAATGATAAACCAATCGATTAATTAATTGGTTGATTTGTGAGCTCATAGTAGATCTTGACTTTGGATATCATGCTGCCATTAATTAGATAAATCTCTATTTTTGCATATCACTACAAGTAACATTGTTATAATTGATGAATGTGTTTAAAGTTTTTAAAATCATTAGTGGAAGGTTTATTTCTTAAATCTTGAATCCTTAATGATATATTTAATATGGCTCAAAGGCATGATTCATCCTTTTTAAGAAATGGAATTCATATTATGTATATAAAAGGTTAAGTGAGGTAGAATTAGACAAACCTATATATTAAGTGTTAAAAAACAGATTTGTGAAGTAAAGCATAAAGTAGGGTTAAAATGTTAGTGCTTTTGGTATTTCTGAAGTCACATTGTGTGTTTTGTTGGTCACGTGAAGTGTTAGTTTAATCTGCTGCAGGGGCGGATTGAGGCCGTCTACTGGGTCTTCCGGAAGACAGTCGAATTTTCAAGTTTACATTGATGGGTATCTAATTTTTTCTGTTGGAAGACGGTCAAAAATGGAGGATGGACCAACAAAGATAATTTGGAAGACTGTCAGAAAATATCTCTGGATCCGCCCCTGTATTGTATGTTCACTATAGATAGGGCAAGTCAGCACTGGACAGTTTTGTCTGCAAACTGTCTGCAGCACTCTGCTTATTAAGTTTTTGAAAAGTTTGTTAAATTTTATTTCTTTTTAATGCATTTCTATTCCTGAAAGAAACATCTACTGTCAAAAAAATCTGGTTTACAAGTGTTAAAGAAGTTTGATTTTGAAAGAAAATTAGTCCACAGTTAATTGAATTTTGATGAAACAAAATTCCTGTTAAAATATAAAAAATTAGTTGCACCAAAAGGCTTCATATTTTGATTACAACTTACTCATCAGCAATGATATTTGTTGTCTGCTTCTGCACTGCACCAGAGTTAGATAATGGGTATCCATGTCCCTGGCCATGTTGTAATTCTCAGTCTGAGAAACCTGTATTAATGTATGAGTGTATGTTCAGTAACAGTATTGCGCACTGCAGTGTGTTGCAGTGTGGAGTGAACGTCTCCGTATCAGGATAGAGACCATCTTCAGTAATTGTACTAGCTAATTGGAGACCACTGTCTTGTTCTCCTTCTAGCCCATGTTAAAAAATATTTGATAAAAGTTTAAAAGAAAATAGGCTAATCTTTTTTTTTTTTTTTTTTGTTCTGAGACTTCCAGACAAGTATTAATCAACTGAATAAATTTGCATTATTAGGGGAAAGGGGTAATTTTTTTTTTTTTTTTTTGGACATTTATCCAACAAAAAAGGATACAATTTAATATTTCTTCCCCCATGTCTTATAGGGCATCGCCCTCAAGGATAAACTGGCAGAGACAAACTCCAACAGCATCCTTTGTACTGTGGAAACTCCACTGCTGACGAAGCTTTTTTCCAAGACTCTGAAGGACGACACATTGGAGACGTTCCCACACTGGCAGTGTAGTCCCAAAGAGATGACCTGCCAGGCTTGTCTCAGCAGCAGGGCATGCGTCAGTAAGTATGAGGTCATGACCTTTGACCTACATTTATATTTATATTTACGTATCATTATAATCAGGTCAGGCATATTTCATGGCCTTTGACCTACATTTATATTTACATATCATTATTATCAGGTCAGGCATATTTCACGGAAGAGAAGATTTGAAATATGTCCCCACCTGAGCTACATTTGTGGCTATTACGCATCAATTGAGACATGTCTTAGTGAAAAAAAGTAAGTATAATATCATGTCCCCTGACCTACCTGTCCTAATTGTGTCAAGGAGTGTGTAAGTATTATGTCATGAGCAGTGTGATTTTTTACAGCTAAGGCACTCATATCTATTACAGATCATATATATCAGGTATAGATCATATTGCCAAGGATTTAGTTGTCATATGATTGTATTACATGATTGTATTGTTCCTTTTTGGACACTGAGGAGTGTGGGTGAATTATATGGTGATTGAACTCTGACCTTTATGACCTACATGTAGTATATGGTCTTTGAACTTAATTGACCTCTGATCTATATAAGTATTTAAGGTTATCATATTCATTGGTCCTTTTTCTGTTCTAAAATTACTCTAACAATTGGATTACTTCTAGATTGCCACCATTGATATGACTTATGATATTTAATTTAAACTGCTGGATGTTTATCACATGACTCTTCCCACCATGTCCCAGAATATTCACTGACAAAAAAATTTCTGGACGAGATATTTTTCAGTGTTAAATGTTGTATTTAACCACAGTTGCATATAATTATTAACACTTGTATGTCTGTGCTTCATTACACTACTTATTATATTCATGAAGTACTTGGATTTCAAACTGCACCATTCTAGTAAATGTACAGTTAATTAATATGACAGTCTGATTTATCTTTTACTATTGTTACTGTCATTATTATTATTTTATTTCTTTGTGCATGAAGTATTGGTAACTGTGGTTGAGTAAATATGTTATATACATAGATATAGATGGAGTACGTAACAGTAATTTCTTTATTATTTTGTGCATAAAGTTCTAGAAGACTGAGTGGAACTTTACAGCACAAAATGGGAAGATGCTTGCTTTGATTGCCATTTTTCAATAGACATTGTCATGTGCATTCTTGTATAATTTCTGTTTTTAGGAAGATCTTTAGTGTATTTAATGGGTAAAGGTGGGTGCTGTCAAAAGGAAATCTGTGTTCTTCAACTTTTATTCAAATAGAACATGCTATGGTTATACTCATTATATCTTTCATTTTCCAAACCCTTTTACTCTTTTTTTTTTTCTTTAAAAAAACAGAAAAAAAAAATCAAAACAGATTTATTAACCCTTTATCACTCATTGCTGCATTTTGTAGCATACATGCAGTTCCAATTGACAGTTGGTTTTAAAAGCATGGGTGAAAAGGGTTAATTTGAAGTGAAAAAAAAAAATATCAGTTAATTATTATGATAGTAGCCCTGACCTTGTGTATTTTAACATAGATGTTGATGTGCGAGTGCATTATTGGTATTTTAAATCTATTTTTTGTTTATTAATTTTTCAGTAATTAATATGACCTAGATACAGGCTGTTTTACTTAGACATGGGGTGTTGTTTAGAATGCCTGAGCCATGGACAAGATTATTTACAAGCTTTTTCTTGTTTATTTGATATGTTTATATACAGATTCTGAAGTAATTTTTAAGCAATCCGTCAGCTTTTAATGTGGTTTGTAAAGCAATGCCACAGTAGCTACCTTACTTACCCTTTGGACTATTCTTTTTAATGAGAGATTGGTAATCACTTTTTGGTAACAACAAAAACTATAAACTTCTGTAAGGTTTTGTTGTTAATGTAACAGTTAATAACCAGATTGAGTTTGATTTGTCAGAAACAGTGTCTAACATTTTAAGGTCAACATTATTGCCATTGTATCTCTGTACCTCTCACTTGGGTTTACTGAAGAATTAAGAATATTTGAATAAGAAAAATGTTTTTAATTCAAATATTCTTAATTCTTCACTAAACCCAAGTTTAAGTTCCATTATATTGAATGTTAACTTTTTTTGGAATATTCTAAACACTGTTTAAAGCATTTATGAAGAATTTGATAACATTTAATGAAGTTCATGGATGAGAATTGTCAGTCTGGTTTTATATGATTATTTCAGAATGCACATTACTTGGACAAATTGCTTTTTTGTTTGCATTATGTTTACTAACCCACTTTAAACATTAGAGGAAAATAGTGGTTGAATGATCATTCCATGTCCTTAGGCCCTTTTCATGTCAAGCTATATATTTACCTAGACCGGTCCACTTTGAGAGGTCCTAATATAATGTATACTTTACATGAGATTTTAGCAAGTTCTGTGCAAGTTTACGTATTTAATGAAAAAATAATTAGTAAGTTGTATGGAGTAGGCGGGGCTCAATTCAGGAAACTTTCTTAGATATTGGCCAGGTAATAAAGTACCACCATTCTCTGGAATTGGACCGGTTCAGATACTGGTACGTAAATATACTGCTCAATGTGAATGGGGCCTAATTTACTCATTGAATGCTGATGAATCTTCACTTTGATCTGTCATGCTATTGAACTGATTGTCTTACTGTGATTGTCATTCCAGGCAGTGGATTGAACCAGTCTTGTTGTGCCACAGACTGCTTGAATACAAAGGAGTGCAAGTTTGTCTACCAGCCTCTCTGTGCTAACAAATCTGTCATCTGTTCTACAGGTACAAATGTAATTTTATTATTTTATGATAGAAGGCTAATTCTCTAAAATCAAGTACCAGTAATTTATGCAATATGTCAAAACAATATGTTTTAAGTAGTATGTGTTTAGAATTATTTGAGAGTGATATGATGGATTTTTTTAAGTAACTAAAAATAAAATATTAGAGAAAGTGAATTGTTCGAAATTTGTATTACTTACTCAGATACAGTAAATGTACTGCTATAATAGCCTGATAAGTGTGCAATTTTGCTTACTTCTAGGTGACACTGTACAATTCACTCTGCATCCAATGTTCAATAACATATCCAGTCAGTTCATGTGTCACTTACGCTACGTGCCTCCTCCTATGTATCTGTATCGTGTTCGTTACCGCATGCACATCGACAACTTCGACACCCCATTTTCCACAGAGCAGGAAATTTACAACATCACAGCCTCTAATATTCATGAGCACAACAATGGAAGTAACCACATCGGTTTTCTTGATGTATCCCATAATACTAAGTTCCAGCTAAAAGACGAGATGATGATGGTCGGTGACATGAATGCTGCCGCCCGCGACTACCAGCTTTCTCTACACCAGTTTAAAGATGTTGGAGAATTCGATAAAGGCAAATTCCAGGTGTTTAGCTTTTCAGACAGCATCTTCACTACATCGTTGACGCCTGAGCGACCCTTCCAAGTAAGCTCAGTGAGCTGGAATAACCAGGAGGGCTGCTGGAGAAATATTTCCACACTCCACAAGAAGCAGAAGATGTACAAGAAACATGGAGTCACTGTCAACTACACTAAAATGAACACAGACGGCACATACAAATATATCTTGTCTCCCAAAATCTATGGGCCAGAAATATCTGTCTCTATTCCAGGTGAGCAAATTAATGGTTGAAAGTTTTGCTAATTCATATACCTGTACAAGTATCAGTATTACAATCACAAGAATTTTTCTGGAGGTACTTTGTAGGTGGCATTTGCAGTAAAGCCATGTATAATGTTTCTTTAAACCTTGCAGTGACAATTTCTAATCACAGAAAACTAATCTTAATGCAAACATCTTGCTTCTGTTAGTTACAATGGTAGTAAATGGGACAACCAAGGAACAAGACTGGTTAAAAATCAGGCCTGAAGAATTGGTAAAAATTCAAGCAACAAACTTAAAATTTCCTCTCACACTATATTGAATTAAAACTTATTCTCACAGTTTCAGTTGGTGAATGTTGTGTTTTTAGTTAGGTAAATGAAGTTATGCATTATAAAACAATATTTTATTTCACATTTTCCAGGGAACCGTTCTGTGTTGTACCATTACATGAAGCACGTACGAGCAGGGATTAGGTTTGACGATTCCTTTAAGACACATCTTGAATTAAACACTACAACCAAAAAGTGGAATATGTCCATATCTGGTATGTGCAAGTGACTGTTTGAGCAAAGGAAAAACTTGAAAAAAAAACTTGGATATGAATTTCATTATAAAGTGCACCTTGATATTTTATTTGACGTACACTACAATCGCTTTTATTTATATTTTGCAACTTTTACTTTAGTACCTTAAGGAAAGTTTTAGAAAAATAGACTAGTATGATCTTCTTTTCAAATTAAATGATTTGTCATTGGCATTAATTTTTTCACAATTAATTTATTTAATCAGATACTTTTTTCAAAATCTGTTTTTCCAGGATATCTGACTGGTTGTCCTGCCTACGTGGCCATTATTGTCAACGACTTGACAGAAATGGTGCAGCTCTTCAACTTGGATACTCTTGTCGTCTGTCCTCCAAGATTTAACTTTGCTTTTCAATTTTCTTTTGGAGACATTAATAGGGAAAAAGTATTTGAAGTTTTACTCCGAGATTCTCATAAAAATTACACTGCCTATGTCTCCTCAGTAAGTGTTATCAAAAATAGCGGTGTTGAAGAACAAACACCAGATGGAGCTAGCTACAAAATCTACCAAGACAACCCTGACCCAGTAGAAAGTGCAGCAGTTGAAATGAAAGAAGATGCCACTTTCAAAAATAATCCAGAAGAATGGCAGCCAATCCGCACCTTATGTATAGTTTTTGGATCTTTGTCCCTTTTCTCAGTGCTCTTGCTGTTACTGATAGAATGTTCAAGATCAGACATAATTTTTACAACTGGAGATCAAAGTTTACGCAGAGATTTGAGGAGACGATTGGAAGTTTTCCGTAGGTTAGAACACCGTAAGATTACAAGCTGCCACAAGTTGTTTATCACAGGTTATACAATATTTCGGATAGCCTATAGTGTTGCTTTTACATTTACCTTATTTATTTTGTTACTGACCTACCTCTGTCAAAGTGACTTGGAGATTATATCCAAGATCAAATATTTATCAGAAATACAGACTAACTACAGTTGCGACATGGCTGCAGATATGAAATCTCAACGCAATGCAGAACTTGCCAGGCAACGGGGCAGGTTTCTCGACATGCAACGTGCATGCGATGAGCATGTTGATAGATTATTCACAAAAGTACAGCAGAAAATGCTCAGCTTCCGTGACAGACAACTGAGACTAATCTACCAATCAGAAACAAGCATCTGGAACAGTACACAGATTATTTTAGAAAATAAACTTCAGGCGTACAGGTCTGAATACAATGCAAAGTTGCAGGAGTACACTTTTGATGCCAAAGCCAAGGTGGAGTATCTCACCACGCTCTACAACCAAGCAGCCAGGGATGTTTACGATAACCCCTGGTTGGATTTTCCCAAACCCATATATAATACTTCGAGGAGTGCTTCCCCCATCACCCTGAGCATGGAATGGACAGGGATTCCAGAGGAATATGTGAACTTCCTGTCTTTCCTTGGTTTGGATAACGCCCTACAGATAGCGATGAGGTTGCCAGAGTTGAAGAAAAGGTAAGAAATTCTAATTTCCTGAAATAAAATTACAGTCATTCTGGCTTGTTAATTAAATTATTATCTGAGTCTGAGTAGATTTTTGTCATTTATTTTTCATTTATTTTTTGCAACATTTTCTATTAAGCTGACTGGTGATTCAATATTTATGTCAATGTTCTTGTTTAAGTTCAGCATTATTACACTCTGGTAATTATCCTCTCTATGGGGAAACTGCAGTCAACATTTTAATGGAGACATGTCATTAACAGCTATTTTGAAAGCAAACATTCCCATTTAGTTTTATGATTATGATGAAAAAGATGCTGTGTTTTCAGGTTAAATGCTTTACCAAAGCCTCCAAGGACAATGAACATTAACAGAAAGCCAGTCCTTGCTTTATGCAGGTCCACAGCCATGGAGAACAACACCTTTAGGTTTGTGTTATCTTCCAAGGATGTTAAAGAATCCCCTGAACTGACGGTTTTGGGGGATGGAGATTCCGAGAAAACAGAGGACTCGAAAATGATGGATATACTGAATCTCCTTCAGATTATCTTTATAATGGCTGACATTGTTATTTTAGTTTACCGTTTCACACGAACGTACGCCACAGCACGTGCATTGTGTCAGGGTCTAGAGGAACGGCTTCAGGATGGAAAGTCGCGGTCGTTCTATTTCAATTTGTGTAACGTGTATTGTTCTCACAACGGTGGAGTCACAGAAACCACATATGTTGATTACAAGGAAGATTCACTCGTGGCAACTCCCCAGGGTACGCCAAAAGACCCCAGGGGTGAAGAGACCATGGACAGTCGAAAGCCCATGCTAGAAACCCCCACCAACAAAAGTCATCAACAGAACAACAAACATAGCCATAACAATATGAAAGCGGCAAAGTCGCATGGAACCAAGAAAAATATCTTTGACTGTACATCATGCTTGGTGGAAACTATATTCAAAATCATTGCCAAAGTCACTTATCAGAACTTCATGGTGAAGTTGGTATTTGGAGGTGTCATTGCTCTCCTGTTATATTGCCTATTAGTTACATGTAGGCTGTATGTGTCATCACAGACTTTATATTACTTAGGACAGTATGAGTTTTTAGAGGAAGGACTGCAGTTAGATATAGATACTACAAACTCTTTGCTCATAAAGCATGCGCAGCACTGGAACGACTTTCTCGTTACTGCACAAAGACAGCAGATGTTAACAAGGATGGAAGGGCTGGCAAGGGTAATAGGGGGCTTCAATCAGGCACAGGTGAGATACGTACATGTACTGTGATATAGGTATTATTTTTAACATGCATTATTTGAACATTGACAGCTCTGTGTTTTTATGAATTGCACCAGCTATACAATGTGTGTGATAATGTGTGTATTATATGTGAATAATAGATGATATAAACATTTTTGAATTTTTAAGTGTATTAAATTTTTTGCTGCTCATTTTAAAAAATATTTTATCCAAATAATAAATGCTGTGTAATCATTTTAACATTCACTCTGATAATTTCATGCACCAGGCTGCCCTTGTAAGTCAATTCAACCTGGAATACTGTGCCTTGAGTGGTGCTAGCGCCACCTGCAGGGCGCCACTGGTGCCACACTACATCAACATCCACCTAGCGCCCTGTCATTATATGCCAATTCAAGCACACCTACTCACAGGTGAGGATCTCACTCTGGTCACTGATTTTTGGGGAAATTCTATGGCCATGAAGCCAGTGATGTCTTATGCATACTTCTGTTGAAAAAATGACAGAGAAAGCTCATTTATGGCTTATGAAACAGCTAGAGATTGTAGCTGTACTTTATAATAAATGCTGCCTTTACGTACACAGAATACTTCTTATTATAAGTGCTTGGGATGTGTAAAATTGTCAAAGAAAGGAGGAACATCTTGTGAACAAATTATGAATTTCCAGTTTTAGTTTTAGATTTTATTATGTGGCATATATAGTAAAATAATAACCTTTGTTATACACATTTTTTTTAGTTCTGAAATAAAAAAAAAATAATAATAATTATATTAGTAATAGTAATAGTAATAAAATGGAAAAGAAAGGAGAAATAAAAATGGAGAATATTTTCATCTGTTTCAGGTTTTAACACAAGTACTCTGGTGCCACGTTTACATGCACAGTTTACTGAAGTGTCCCTGGCAGTTCACAGCCTCTCTTTCACTATAGTCTATGTCGCCATGGTTGCAGCGGGAACCATGTTGGTCATACACCTGCTAGGCGTAGCACTGTTTCATTACCTCAAGACGAGACATGTATTTCCTGTCCAAATTATCTATGAGGGTTGCACACCGCCACCTGGTGTGAATATAACTGTAAATGGACCATCGAATTCAGAAATTTTGGAAGAATCTCAACAGCCCTTGGTCCCAAGACAACATCGGGTTTCCCAGAATGCATCAGCCCAATCGAGTCCAGCAGTGGATGTAATAAGTGGGTCAACAGAGCATAAGTTGAAAACAAAACGACATGCAGAATCCAGGGTTTAATTAGCAACGAATTTAAGAGCTATACTCTTGTTTGAGAAAAATAAACCTTGAATCAAGAACCTCATCAGCATTTTCGTACATTTATATATGTATCTATCTTATGTGTATTCAACTTGTATTCATACTGTTAGTGCANACTGCACAAAGACAGCAGATGTTAACAAGGATGGAAGGGCTGGCAAGGGTAATAGGGGGCTTCAATCAGGCACAGGTGAGATACGTACATGTACTGTGATATAGGTATTATTTTTAACATGCATTATTTGAACATTGACAGCTCTGTGTTTTTATGAATTGCACCAGCTATACAATGTGTGTGATAATGTATGTATTATATGCGAATAATAGATGATATAAACATTTTTGAATTTTTAAGTGTATATTTTCCTAAATTTTTTGCTGCTCATTTAAAAAAATATTTTATCCAAATAATAAATGCTGTGTAATCATTTTAACATTCACTCTGATAATTTCATGCAACAGGCTGCCCTTGTAAGTCAATTCAACCTGGAATACTGTGCCTTGAGTGGTGCTAGCACCACCTGCAGGGCGCCACTGGTGCCACACTACATCAACATTCACCTAGCGCCCTGTCATTATATGCCAATTCAAGCACACCTACTCACAGGTGAGGATCTCACTCTGGTCACTGATTTTTGGGGAAATTCTATGGCCATGAAGCCAGTGATGTCTTATCTGAATAAAAATGCATACTTCTGTTGAAAAAATGACAGAGAAAGCTCATTTACGGCTTATGAAACAGCTAGAGATTGTAGCTGTACTTTATAATAAATGCTGCCTTTACGTACACAGAATACTTCTTATTATAAGTGCTTGGGATGTGTAAATGTCAAAGAAAGGAGGAACATCTTGTGAACAAATTATGAATTTCCAGTTTTAGTTTTAGATTTTATTATGTGGCATATAGTAAAATAATGACCTTTGTTTTACACATTTTTTTTAGTTCTGAAATAAAATAAAAAAAATAATAATATTAGTAATAGTAATAAAATGGAAAAGAAAGGAGAAATGAAAATGGAGAATATTTTCATCTGTTTCAGGTTTTAACACAAGTACTCTGGTGCCACGTTTACATGCACAGTTTACTGAAGTGTCCCTGGCAGTTCACAGCCTCTCTTTCACTATAGTCTATGTCGCCATGGTTGCAGCGGGAACCATGTTGGTCATACACCTGCTAGGCGTAGCACTGTTTCATTACCTCAAGACGAGACATGTATTTCCTGTCCAAATTATCTATGAGGGTTGCACACCGCCACCTGGTGTGAATATAACTGTAAATGGACCATCGAATTCTGAAATTTTGGAAGAATCTCAACAGCCCTTGGTCCCAAGACAACATCGGGTTTCCCAGAATGCATCAGCCCAATCGAGTCCAGCAGTGGATGTAATAAGTGGGTCAACAGAGCATAAGTTGAAAACAAAACGACATGCAGAATCCAGGGTTTAATTAGCAACGAATTTAAGAGCTATACTCTTGTTTGAGAAAAATAAACCTTGAATCAAGAACCTCATCAGCATTTTCGTACATTTATATATGTATCTATCTTATGTGTATTCAACTTGTATTCATACTGTTAGTGCATTTTATAATAATGCTCTCATATTGGAGAATCTCAGTTGTAAAGCCATGCAAGGCATTTCATTTTTGCAATTTTTTGTCACATGTTTTGTAAAGTTTCATCTGACAATTGAATCTTCTTTTCCAAAATTAACAATTATTGTTTGGTAGGTAGGGTGTACCAGCTTGTCAAAGGCTCTTTTTACATTGTGGGGTATAATATTTATCCTGTATTGCAATATTTTGACTGGTCTTTATAATTATGTAATTAACGTAGGGGGAGGGGATCTCCATTTGATAAGTCTGTTTGTTGTTATTGGACCAATCAAAATTAATCCAGTTTGCTGGCCATCTCATCTCATGTAAAAGTCGGGTTATTTAGTTGGCAATCTCTCAAACCATTGCAATACAGACAGGTATACTGCTACACCATGTGAAAAGAGCCTTATAGAAATTAATAAAATCTCCTGAAACCCAAATTACTGTTTAGAACTTTTCTTTGTAGGAGATATTTTTTTAATTAAATTAAGGTCTTTTACATCTTGTTTTATGCTTTTTGATAATTAGAATTTACTTTCCTTGCAATTATAGTAATGCAGTATTAATAAATGGATGTATTATTCAAAAGACAGTGTTTTAATTGGTGTAAAAGCCAATGCAAGGGAAGAGTTACTTTAAGGACTATTTCCCATTATTTTAGACACACTGGTTGTGACTGTTGTATTTCATACTGAGAAATATTTATCTTTTATTTCAACATTCCAGTAATTTTAAGCTCCAATCATTGTCTCTGATGGGATATAACATAACTCTTTTTATTGGGACATGGAACAACATGTTTATACTATAGGGAAGGGGCAATTTAGGTTTCAATTTCAAATGTTTTGTCACAATTTTTGTGGCCTAGCAGTAATGTTACTGCTGTTTTTTTTTTTTTTTAATACATAATTGTAGTTGCAGCATATTTTTAGTACTGTCTTAGGAAAATTGATCCTGTTGTTCATGCTAATTTTACTTAACCTCTTATAAAGGTCTCTATTTAATACACTCCATATTTTGTTAATCATTTTCTTGTAAGTCTTCAATAAACAACAACAGAGCACAATTTATTTATAGGCTGTGTTAAGAAGAGTCAAGATACAGGAGAAAAAAACATGCCATGTTATTACTAGTTTAGGTTCTTTTTCTGCCAAAAGCAATTTTTTTAACTGGATGAAGTGCATTTTCAAGTGCAAATCAACTCTTTGCCATGTACAATTCTGCTGATGCCAGGGATGCTGTAAATCACATTACGGAAATCATGTTATAATAACAAGTAGAGACCTCAATTTTTTAAATTTTTTTACTCTCCTATTTCTTTAAATCTTAGTTCTGCTTAAGTTGTTATAGACAGACCTCGGAGAATATATTGTAAGACGCATTTGTACAGGTACCACAGACTGTCCTGTGGAATTAAAAATGTGAGACGTTAATTATGTGTACACTTCTTTGACAGTTCTATGTCAAACTATTGCTTACCATCAATTATGTAACAATTTATGTAACATGTTAAATTTGGTAGTCTTCTATGGATATTATGTACCAAGTAGACATGCTTTATTTGCAGTTATCATTTGCCTCTCATCAAAGTAGAGAAAGCTTTAAAATTCTGAATGTCCCCACAATTGTATTTATATCTCACCTAAAGTGATATCTTGATTTAATAAAGTTGAATTTATTTAACATGAAAGTCAGTGAAAACTGTTCACTTTGCACTGACAAGGAGATATTGAGGTCATTGCACAGTCACCTCTATTCAGGCCAAGGTCAGATACAAGGTCATTTTAAAAGGCCATAGACATGTTTTTGAAAAATTGAGAAAATTACTGTTTCTGCATCATTTTTCTGTTTAGGAAAAGGTTGTATTTGTACTTAATAAGTTGTCACGTTTGTATAGTCATCGTCTTTTTACAGCATGTTGTAGTATATTGTAGAATATAAAGCCAAAATGTTGAATGTGAATAAAAGTCACAGAAATTTGTTACACATGGTATTTTCTCGGGGTTTTTTTTCCATCTTTTTGTCTTCTCATGCCACAGCAGAATATTTGAGAAAAAAAAATTAAGGAACTGAAAGCAGTATTTTTTGAAAATATACACTTTATTCATATATGTAACTTGCACCTCTTTCATTGCTTTATTGGGTGGGTAGCAAATGCATAGCCAACAAAACATTCCATTTTTCTTCACACTCAAAAATTACTCTTTTATGACAAACCAGAGAAAACCTCATCTTAGACTAACAAATTAAATGTTAAATGTAAGTGTCACTGTGTATCTGATAAAAGTCATAGGTAAACTTAGTGTACTGTGTGTGTGTATATTTTTTTTTTCAATTAACATAAATCACATATTAAAATGGCCTGAGAGCATGGATATACTTAAAAGTTTTGACTATCAACTTTAAATGTTGCAAAATAAACCATTAAAATCTCAAAACATTATGTTAAAATAAATGTAGAAATCAATAAAATTAAAGATATTACAATCAATTAAATGCATTTAGAAACACTATATGTCATAAAAATTCTTTTGATTCATTCTTTGGTGAATCATACTAAATCATAAGACAGAAATAATGAAAATAACACAATCATTAAAACAAATAAATAACTTCTCAAAATATGTTAGATTAGCAATATTAAAGGAGTTTCAATGTTTCTTAACCTTTGGTTACATTCTTTGGTGAATCATACTACATTCATAAGACGAAACAATAAAGTTAACACAATCATAAAAACAAATGAACAACTTTTAAATATATCTAGCAATATTAAAGGAGTTTCAGTGGGTAAAAAAATAAGGCACCTACACCAATTGGAAAAGTCAAAGTACATGCTTGTGCCATAATACACCCTCTCCTCTATCACTTATTCAATAATAAAATGTCAACCAAAAGGTAATTAAGATCAAGTTCATGAAGATATATATATTCCAATTAAAGGAGACAAGTGAAAGGTAATACTGGAAATAAACAATTTCATCAAGATTTAAAATCAACTTGAAATACAAAACATTCTTTGTAACAGAATCAAAGACTTATTTCGCGAGACCAAGATACCTTGCCTTGCTCAACCAATCATCTCGCGGCAAATAGCAGCCACAAAGTATCCTCTCGCCAGCAAACTCTGCGCGCCCGTGCATTGTCCGCCAGTTGTCGATAAATATTACTGTTCCGGGACTGAGCTTGAACCAGTACTCGTTATCTGGTGACATCACTTCCTGTGAGAGAAGTTTCATGGCGCAGTAGAACCTTGGTATCTCATCCGCTGGGATGGTGTTTATAATTCCTCTGTCGTAGTTGTTGTATCTGATATGAATTGTAAAATGTCAAAACAACTGATATTATAAATATAATTGTTATCCAGTTTCAATATGTCCTTGGAAAATATTAGCTACTACTAATTTCATAAGATACCGTGAATTAAAGCAATCTTTCAATATCTTGAGTAGCAACTAAGTTCACAAAAATTAATACGTTTATCCTGTAAAGACAAGTTTGCAAAATACTAGAAATAACAAAAGATTGTACGGCAGAGAAAAGAATTGACATCATCCCTACCTGAACTGCACTAAATCCCCGGTACAAGGGTCAAGTCTGAATGTAGTGTCCACACTGCGAAGGTGATACTGATCGTCCAGACAGTAATGAGGGATAGGGGTACGGACCAGGTAGTCAAACGCATCTGGATTCTGCTTTTGAACTTGCATCGCCACGTGGAAACCATCCACTAGGACAGACTCGCCCCCTTGTGGGGCCTCTTGAAGGCAGTGGAACACCTGAATGCTGGAGGAAAGAAATCATTTGTTAAAAGTTGCTACAGGAAACAAATTAATTTTAAATGTATGAATATAGTAATGATAAACTATATAATATATTAGGAGAAAGGGAGAGAGATCCTTATCGCACTGCAAATTTAAGCAAGAAGAAGAAAACCCAGGGGCTGTGATATACCAGTAAAGTTCTGCATTTAATGCACTGTGTTCAAAAAGTTGGAGCTTGAAGCAGCAGAACATAATGCACAGCCACCATATTTGGGATAAGATAGATAACACCAATTCAGTGTGCAGTTGTGTAATCAAAAACTCATTTATAGAATAATTTTTTTTTTTTTATTAATATTATGTTTCTTACTATAACCCACATGATAAATAAATTAATATCTGTGTCTTTAAAACATGAATTTCCAAATAAAAGTTTATCATCAACATCATTATCATCATCATTATTATTATTATAACTCACCCACTTGGTTCATTAAAGTAACAAGTATCTATATGAGACCCCAGTCCCACATTGCTGAAGGAGCTGTCTTTGTAATCTTTGTACTCTCCTGTTGCCCGCGTATACCACATACCACCATACAAGGTCTCCTTCACAAACGCCACGCGTCTCGCCACTTTTTCTGTGGCGTCAGTATTGGCTGGGACCTATTATAGGGATGAGACTGAAGTTTAGTGAAAAAAAAAAAAAAANGTTTCAATCATTGTCTCTGTTGGGATATAACATAACTCTTTTTATTGGAACATGGAACATGTTTATACTATAGGGAAGGGGCAATTTAGGTTTCAATTTCAAATGTTTTGTCACAATTTTTGTGGCCTAGCAGTAATGTTACTACTGTTTTTTTTTTTGTTTTTTTTTTTTTTTTTTTTTTTTTTTTAATACACAATTGTAGTTGCAGCATATTTTTAGTACCGTTTTAGGAAAATTGATCCTGTTGTTCTTGCTAATTTTACTTAATCTCTTATAAAGGTCTCTATTTGATATACTCCATATTTTATTAATCATTTTCTTGTAAGTCTTCAATAAACAACAACAGAGCACAATTTATTTATAAGCTGTGTTAAGAAGAGTCAAGATACAGGAGAAGAAAACATGCCATGTTATTACTAGTTTAGGTTCTTTTTCTGCCAAAAGCAATTTTTTTAACTGGATGAAGTGCATTTTCAAGTGCAAAGCAACTCTTTGCCATGTACAATTCTGCTGATGCCAGGGATGCTGTAAATCACATTACAGAAATCATGTTATAATAACAAGTAGAGACCTCAATTTTTTTAATTTTTTTACTCTCCTATTTCTTTAAATCTTAGTTCTGCTTAAGTTGTTATAGACAGACCTTGGAGAATATACTGTATTGTAAGATGCATTTGTACAGGTACCACAGACTGTTGTCCTGTGGAATTAAAAATGTGAGACGTTAATTACGTGTACACTTCTTTGACAGTTCTATGTCAAACTATTGCTTACCATCATCCCAAATTATGTAACATGTTAAATTTAGTAGTCTTCTATGAATATTATGTACCAAATAGACATGCTTTATTTGCAGTTATCACTTGCCTCTCATCAAAGTAGAGAAAGCTTTAAAATTCTGAATGTCCCCACAATTGTATAATTTATATTTCACTTAAAGTGATATCCTGATTTAATAAAGTTGAATTTATTTAACATGAAAGTCAGCGAAAACTCTTCACTTTGCACTGACAAGGAGATATTGAGGCCATTGCACAGTGACCTCCATTCAGGCCAAGGTCAGATACAAGGTCATTTTAAAAGGCTGTTGACATGTTTTTGAAAAATTGAGAAAATTACTGTTTCTGTACACATTTTTGTGTTTAGGAAAAGGTTGTATTTGTACTTAATAAGTTGTCACGTTTGTATAGTCATTGTCTTTTTACAGCATGTTGTAGTATATTGTAGAATATAAAGCCAAAATGTTGAATGTGAATAAAAGTCACAGAAATTTGTTACACATGGTATTTTCTCTGTTTTTTTCCCCATCTTTTTGTCTTCTCATGCCACAGCAGAATTTTTGAGAAAAAAAAAAAAACTGAAAGCAGAATTTCTTGAGAATATACACTTTATTCATATATGTAACTTGCACCTCTTTCATTGCTTTATTGGGTGGTTAACAAATGCATGGCCAACAAAACATTCCTTTCTTCTTCACACTCATAAATTTCTCTTTTATGACAACAAACCAGAGAAAACCTCAATTTAGATTGACAAATTAAATGTGGGTGTATATGATAAGAGTCATAGGTAAAATTAGTGTACTATATATATATATATATATATATATATATATATATATATATATATATATATATATGATTTACATATAAATTAAAATAAATCACATATTAAAATAGCCTGAGAGCATGGTCACACATTGCATCTGCTCTGACCATGCTCTCATGTGTTTATGCTCTTTGTAAAATATACTTAAAAAGTTTTGCCTATCAACATTAAATGTTGCTAAATAAACCTTTAAAATAACAAAAAGTTATTTTAAAATAAAATGTAGAAATCAATAAAATTATAGATATTGCAATCAATTAAATGCATTTAGAAATATTATATGTCATAAAAATTATTTGGTTTCATTCTTTGCGGAATCATACTTAATCATAAGACGGAAATAATGAAAATAACACAATGATTAAAACAAATAAATAACTTTTCAAAATATGTTAGATTAGCAATATTAAAGGAGTTTCAATGTTCCTTAACCTTTGGTTACATTATTTGGTGAATCATACTACATTCATAAGACAGAAACAATAAAGTTAACACAATCATAAACACAAACGAACAACTTTTAAATATATCTAGCAATATTAAAGGAGTTTCAGTGGGTAAAAAAATAAGGCACCTACACCAATTGGAAAAGTCAAAGTACATGCTTGTGCCATAATACACCCTCTCCTCTATCACTTATTCAATAATAAAATGTCAACCAAAAGGCAATTAAGATCAAGTTCATGAAGATATATATATTCCAATTAAAGGAGACAGTGAAAGGTAATACTGGAAATAAACAATTTCATCAAGATTTAAAATCAACTTGAAATATTCAACATTCTTTGTAACAGAATCAAAGACTTATTTCGCGAGACCAAGATACCTTGCCTTGCTCAACCAATCATCTCGCGGCAAATAGCAGCCACAAAGTATCCTCTCGCCGGCAAACTCTGCGCGCCCGTGCATTGTCCGCCAGTTGTCGATGAATATTACTGTTCCAGGACTGAGCTTGAACCAGTACTCGTTATCTGGTGACATCACTTCCTGTGAGAGAAGTTTCATGGCGCAGTAGAACCTTGGTATCTCATCCGCTGGGATGGTGTTTATAATTCCTCTGTCGTAGTTGTTGTATCTGATATGAATTGTAAAATGTCAAAACAACTGATATTATAAATATAATTATTATCCAGTTTCAATATGTCCTTGGAAAATATTAGCTACTACTAATTTCATAAGATACCGTGAATTAAAGCAATCTTTCAATATCTTGAGTAGCAACTAAGTTCACAAAAATTAATACGTTTATCCTGTAAAGACAAGTTTGCAAAATACTAGAAATAACAAAAGATTGTACGGCAGAGAAAAGAATTGACATCATCCCTACCTGAACTGCACTAAATCCCCAGTACAAGGGTCAAGTCTGAATGTAGTGTCCACACTGCGAAGGTGATACTGATCGTCCAGACAGTAATGAGGGATAGGGGTACGGACCAGGTAGTCAAACGCATCTGGATTCTGCTTTTTAACTTGCATCGCCACATGGAAACCATCCACTAGGACAGACTCGCCCCCTTGCGGGGCCTCTTGAAGACAGTGGAACACCTGAATGCTGGAGGAAAGTAGCCATTTTTTTTAAGTCACTACAGGAAACAAATTAATTTTAAATGTATGATTATAGTAATGATAAACTATGTATATTACATTATTAGGAGAAAGGGAGAGAGATCCTTATCGCACTGCAAATTTAAGCAAGAAGAAAACCCAGGGGCTGTGATATACCAGTATAGTTCTGCATTTAATGTACTGTGTTCAAAAAGTTGGAGCTTGAAGCAGCAGAACATAATGCACAGCCACCATATTTGGGATAAGATAGATAACACCAATTCAATGTGCAGTTGTGTAATCAAAAACTCATTTATAGAATAATTTTTTTTTATTATTATTAATATTATGTTTCTTACTATAACCCACATGATAAATAAATTAATATCTGTGTCTTTAAAACATGAATTTCCAAATAAAAGTTTATCATCAACATCATTATCATCATCATTATTATTATTATAACTCACCCACTTGGTTCATTAAAGTAACAAGTATCTATATGAGACCCCAGTCCCACATTGCTGAAGGAGCTGTCTTTGTAATCTTTGTACTCTCCTGTTGCCCGCGTATACCACATACCACCATACAAGGTCTCCTTCACAAACGCCACGCGTCTCGCCACTTTTTCTGTGGCGTCAGTATTGGCCGGGACCTATTACAGGGATGAGACTGAAGTTTAGTGAAAAAAAAAACTGAAAATGGCATGGGGTCCAAGGGATCCTCTGTACGTACCAATCTCAAAAAATATTTCTTGACTCCCAAAGGTCAGAAAGCTGTCTATAGACTAGTTGAAAAATTTCTCATTACTGCTTTAAACATACAGCACTGAAGATCATGTAGCAGTTCACTTGATTTGAAATGATTTACAATTACTGTTTTACAACCTTCCATGGCTAGATCACGTTTGAAAATGTTTTACTCTCCAGACAAGGCATAATTTTATAATTACCTCAGAGACAAGTCCAAACCCATAGGTCAGAAGATCCTTCAACATGTTCCTCAGTCCCCCATCAGTGTCCATGTATTCCTGGTAGGGCACTGGGGTGGGGCTCTGGCTCTTGATGGTCTCTGCATTCCACAGCACCTTGGGCACCTGCAGTATGTCTGGTTTCCCAGGGTAGGCATTCTCCAGGAGCCAGTTTAGAGAGTACGTGGTCACGTGACCATCGGGCCCTGGAATGGATTATCATGATTGAATTTATAATCTACAGCATTCACTGAGGACCAGTTTGGAGAGTATTTGGTCATGTGATCACTGGGCCCTGAAATGAATAGTCAAGACATAATTTGAAACACATGTGGTGCACATAATTGGTCTTTGTGTTTCGTCATGACCCGATTCCCTGTCTCTCCTCTTATCTCCTTATATTTGTGCCTGTTAGTTGACACAGTTTTTTCTGTCAACAGACAACATGTCTGAAGATGCAGATTATGTGACAGTGCAATCTCTGTTTATGGCTACATTACCTCTAGGACCCTTTTCCCCGATAGGAAAGTTAATTTCTATGTTATATAGGAATTTAACATTTACAGTGTGCCTTGCAGCATCTAAATGATTTCTGATGATTATATTGACTGTAATCTGTGACTAACATTCAATCACCAAATCATCGCCCTCAATGTTGACTTCCTTTGGCTGAATGTCTAGAGGTATGTCATTGGTCACGATATTCTTCTGGAATGTCTTCTGGTCTATGCACTGTTTGCACTGGCAGTGGTCCCGCAGCCAGACGTAGTACAACTGGAGTGACTGTCCGGCTACCTTTATCTTAAGGTGACTGTAGGGTGCACTGAAACTAATTATGAAATGTGAATTTATATGCTGGTGCAAGCGGGCTGTTAAAGAGACAGCAAAGTCTCAACTTTTTGATCTATCAAATTAAAATCTGGACTAAATGAAACATTTTCAGTCAAAAAACAGATGCTTTCAATCCGTGTGGTTAGTTAGTAGTCTTTCAAATGACGTGAAACTAACACACGAAGCCAACAAAGATCACCATGTCAAATAACTATTTACCTTGTTATTTTCTCAAATGTCACATTTCTTTTCTCTGCTGCATCTACTTGAGCACATTTGCTAGTTGTTACTATGTTCCTTGACAGAAGTGATAGAGAAGGTGTTACGGACGAAAGTCTTGCTTTACCGATATAGCGTTTGGCACTAGAATTCTGAACTCTAGGTGGCACTGCTGTGCTGTGTTTAAATGTCTGCAGCTTGAGGCAACCTTTTCCATATTGCAGAACACCTTGGCACGTCTTTCTGAGAAACATCTTCTGAAAGTAAATAAAATTTTGAAACTATCAAGTGCTCTAAATCATCCTTACTAGTCAAAATCTCATTTCTTTTGATACAACGGACCAATTAACAATAATGCCCGTGAAAGCATTTGCTACTTTCATGAAATATTGTTCACTTTGGCTAATAAAAATGTCATCAATTTGATAATAAAAAGTATATGTATATTTGGAATTGATTTGGTGAATATCTGTACTGAATCTGTCTTTATAACATGATGCAGACACTTAACAATTTATTACATACATATTTATTTTGAACCAATATTATTTGTATTTTATGAAAACAGCACTAATTAAGAAGCATTTTCTGCTTCAATAAAACTGATATCAAAGTATAACATATATATGTGATAAAATAATTTAGCCCCCCCCCCCCCCCTCTTTTTCATGAATCCAAGAAAAAATCACTTATCAAAAATGTTGGTAACCTAAAAAGTATGTACTAATATATGTATTTCCCATCAAAGAAGTAAGATTTGTCAAATATAATGGATTCAGTAAAAATATAATAATAATAATAAAGATTTCAAACTTGCCAGCAAGCCTTCCGTTGCACTCCCACTGTCTGTCACTTTAGGCCAACTGAGAGTCAAAAGTTTTCTGGGCTCTCTTATCTGTGGCCGACTTTAGTTTATAGTGCCTGGTAAGGTAAAAATATGTGTACTTGTTGTGTCTACATTCTATGATAAAACATGAACTTTGTAATGACCTTCATCTCTGCCAGTAATAGCATGGAATTCATGCGTTAGCACATACTTCTATTTATGGTTTCGGATATGTGCTGGTTAGCACAGCCAGATCAGACACTGTAAATAGGAGTGCTAATGCATATGAATTCAGTGCTACTCCACTAAGTGTAAATTGGGAAATAAAGAGATCTTGACATGTGTGGTTTATTTCTGCATGAAGTGAGTACTAATATGTTTACATTCCAGGCGTTTTTTTTTTTTTTTTATTGATGTCCTTTAAAAAGTTGGTCTTGTTGATGCAATCCACATCCATCTACCAAATGTACAGTTTGTTGTGAGCAAAAGAATACTGCACATGCTGAAGGTTTCTTCATTCACAACTTCAAGCAACATGTCTTTTTAAAAATAACTTTCTGATAAATTCAACCTAGATCTATATCATAATTAGGTTTAATCATATCTAATAATCATTTCCATGCGCTAATAGTGAAAGGGTTGTGTTGTCCTCTGAACTAGGAAGCACTGGTTGAATGATTACCAAGCATGTAAAATTGTAACCTACAATTTAACTGAGGCAGCACTTCATCAACTTCGACTGTCACTTGGAACACTGTCAGTGTCACCAAATCTGTGGTTGATAAGCGATAATAAATTACATTATCCGCTAAACCACGCTGTTGTCCGCTCCATGAAAACTCCAAATAACTCAGATCATGTTTCAAAATACTCTCGTCTGATAAGTTACAACTGGGTCAGGCAATCAAACGTGTGTGCGATACAAACCTCTCGCTACTCAGTTGCCGGTAGAACTTTGGACTCGACATTGTTGATCTTGATCACGCGCGAATTCTTCAAACTTTTGTAACATAAAATAATTAGCCATGCATCATAGAACATTCATTTTATTTTGCAAATATATTTCAAAATAAATAAAATCTTTATTTCTAACTATATTTAATGGTTTTCATTTCTTAATTTACTGACTTACATGATATTCTCATTGAATTTATTCATCGGTGAACGTGTGTAAGTCCATTTGTCATATAAGGCTGGCTGGAAACAGGAGGTTTGTTATGTCCAGTAAAAAGATGGCCGTCACAGGCCATCTTAGGTTGGAAGACAGTGGTCGTCACACATCAGAGAGTTTCATGCCGAAAAACTCCCTTCAGTGGAAATTTTCTCTCCAGAAATATATATGCTCGTATATCGTATTGTTATGGTTCTTAACACTATCGGTCAAGCTTATAGTAACCCCAACCCTCTGTCATCAATTATCATTAAATAGCACTCTCACTAATGTACGTAGTATAAACACACTTGACAGTGATCCCTCTGATCAGTAGACACACAATGTATTTATATCTGCACACTTAGAAATAAAGTTAGTTGTTGCAGTCGAGTCCTTCCTGGAGTTGTTTCATGGTGTCAGAAGTACGTGACTGTGTTTTATAACAATACAGTGAGCCAACGCTGATAACCAGTTGATAAAAAAGTCTTTCCACATGGAGCTGGGAGCTTTACCAGTACCTGCCATGAACTGGCATGCTACCGATGCAGTTCAGGAGTACAAGAAGTTCAAACAGATGTGCGAGTTATACTTTGATGGTCCACTAAAGAACAAATCTAAGACTGAAAAGATTGCGTACCTCCAGATATGGGCTGGAGAGACTGGACGAGACCTAGTAAGCACATGGAACTTGACTGGGGATGAATCTAAGGAATTAAAAACCTACTTTGACAAATTTGAAGAATTTGTTAAGCCTAAAAGCAATTTTAAACTAGCCAGATTTAAGCTGAGGACCCTTACGCAAGGTAACGGGGAAACTGTAGATCAATTCTTGAAGAGAATTCGTTCTCTGGTCAGCGAGTGCAAGTATACCCAACCAGATGAACAAATACTTGACACGCTCATTTTTGGATGCAAATCAGCCCGCACGCAGTCCAAATTACTGGAATTGGGTGAAACTCTGTCATTGGACAAGGCGATCGACATTGCAAGAACTCAGGAAGCAACCTCGCAGCAACTCACAGACATCA